AAATAGATTGACATTTGGGGCTTTTACACTATTACAGTCAAATTGCTCTTCTAAAGACAGTTCATGATTGCAGTTTCTTAGAGTGATGTGATTCAGTTTGTCTTTCTGATGGCCTCTTTCCTGCTGCTGAAATTTAACTGATATGTTTTTGAAAGCATATTACTTTGCATATATTTATTGTTGTTTAATTTTTTTATGTACGCATATTAAAGTACACTCTCTCTCTGAAGGAGGAAGGGACACAGAAAGGTCTTCAGTCTAGTGAGCACTAAAAATTCAAAAGTTTTGTTTCCAGCTGAGCAACAAATTCTTGTGTGACCTTGGTCAAGATGATTAACTTCTGTGCATAATGAGGACAATGAACAGCATTTACCAGTCATAGGTAAAACTAACTAAACATAGGAAGTTCTGCAAGATGTTTGGGGATCTCTGATAGGTAAATTGTGTGTGTGTACTAAATCAGGCAGAGGAGGAAAATGGTCAGAGCAAAAAGCTAGAGTTGAAAAAAACTGAAAAAGGAAAAATATCAGATAAAATTTAAAAAAGGCTGGGAGATGAGTGGGATGATGAAACCAGTTGGGATCGTTTGTAGGTAAATAATTATAAAACATGTGGACCTATTCAGTGTTAATGGGGCAAGCAAAATGCACTGAGATGAATGTGTTTGTCTATGCACTTCTAAAGTGGTGAAGCCAAAGGCATTTCTGGACCTTGGGAATCTGCTATGCTGATCAGCTTTCTTGAAAGTTCAAGGAAAAACATGTTGAAATAATACATGAAAGTCAAAGAGGAAATATTTTCTTCCATGTGTATATTAAAGCTTGCATTAAATGCTAAAAAAATTATTGAAAAAAATAATATGAAGAAGAACATCATTCTGTAAAAAGTATTGGTGAGTTAAGTTCTCATTTAAGAAGCATGTTTCAAAATGCTGTGTTCTGCTTGGAAGAAATTTTCCCTAGTCCCTACTTCAATGTATCTTCTCTGCTACTGTTTTTTTTTTTTTACTTTATTTAGGCTCATGTATCATGGTTTTGGTTATACTTTATTAATATATAAAAATTTAAAAATATTCACTTTGCACACCACCTTTTATGCATAGAAGCATAATGTATTCTGAAATCATAAGTGTCAGTATCCAATGCTGTTTCAATCAACATTCTTATTCAGTGAAAATAAAATACATTTTTACTTTTATTTCTTAATTCATTCCCCAACATTAAAAAAAAACCAAACTACAAACTGTAACAATCTGAGTGTTTTAATTTATCATATTTTAGATGGCTGTAAGTTTTTGCATTTACTGCTGCTGTAAAAGACTTATTTCCATTTTTACTATCACAAACAGTTGATGATTTTCAGTTAAAATATTGACTAGAGATGCAGAGATTGATTATTCCCTGAGTATGGGGTGAATTTGGGAAAAAGATACCTAGAAAATAAACCTGATTTTCCATAGGAAATATATATATAATATTAAACCAGCTGAGAGGCTTATTGACAAGCCTTATCTAGTTGCAGAATTTTGCAGAAAACAATCTATGGTGTTCTGAAGCATTACTCAGTTGAGCAATCTTAGACTATACTGATCATGAATGGAGACTTTTTATACTAATAACTGGAAATTGGTTGCAAGTTTCTCTGTCTTACAAAACAGTTAAGATCACTTTGGTGGGTAGTTTGTCATTATGTTGATACAACATCTGCTTGCATCCAATGCCTCAAAACTGTTTGCAGGAAACAGACACAAAGACTTGGATAGAGTCCATTTGTTCTCCAGTTCCAATGGCTCTACCCGGGAAAGCAATTCTACCATATGCTGTGCAACGTCAGTTCCCATTAACTCCAGTTTAAGTGAAGAGGCACAGCCCTTCTTAGGAGATGCAAGGTAGTGTCAGCACAGATTCTAAAGCTGAAATTCACTTCCTTGCAGAAGTTCTGCACAAAGCCCGTGCATCATTTAAGTGCCACTTAATTCTTTATAATGGAGCTCAGAGTGGATTTGAAGAAGCTGATAGGCTTTTTGCTCCCTTGTCTGCAGAGGGCTGAATTACACCCCCGGTGAATATACACAGTAAAAAGGCAACTACACTGCCTCAGGAAATACACTATATTCCTTTGCTTTGACTAGTGCAACTCAGTTTAAATTACTGATGAAAATTCTTTGATATTATGCTGATAAAGTTGCTGTACATTTTGCTCCCTTCCTATATTACACTCTCATGCTGTGGTATAATGTGCAAACCAAAAAGTGAAAATGAAAAAATAGATGTAGTCCTGCAGACAAGAACAGGGCCTCCCTCGTGGCCATGTGTGCGAGGGCCAGTGTGTTGGTGAGGCTCCTGAAGCAAAGCAATGAGTGGGTGGAGAAGCAGAATTAAAGGGATGTGAAAACCAATAATGGGGAAGAGACCCCAGAAGGGTGGTTGGAGGGGGACATGGGGGCTGAGGAGGCATGGTTTTGATACTGATCAGCTTTAAACCATGTCAGCTGGCTAGCTTTTCCCTACAAAAGAAGTTCTGATTCTCAAGGCCTAAATGCATGAACTGGTATATACACAGCAGAGAAATGTTTAGACTTTATGCTTTGTAAAATACCCTTGGTGTGTTTTAAATTTGTGTGGATATAGCCAATACCCAGAGCAAAGACCCCATGGATTTGTGATAATAGCAGTAGCAACTAAGCAAACACTGAGAGTGATTCAGAGATACTTTTATAAAATAGGATTACTTCAAGTCATGTTTCCAGGAAAGCTTTCTAGCTGAGATAGTAAAGGCAATCTAGTGGATATTTCTGAGGTTTAGCTTACTATTTAGTCTTTCAATTATCCTTTATATTGTTGAAACATTTATAGAAATAGCCATTTTGATACTGTGAATTAAGAAAGATATGCATGCAAGTAGGTCAGATTTGGTGTTAACATTTTACTGAGCTTATTCTGTTAAGCTTGTAACTGGATGTATGCCTTCACTGAAAAAGGATGAGGCTATTTGTTACAGAGGAGGGGTTAGTCTCAAAAACTGGTATGATCCAGTTACCTGTGGAGCAGTACCTCTGGTGCCCAAGTAGAATCCACATTTCTGTGTATTATGTGCTATAAAAACCTAGGAGAATTGCTTCAAAAAATTGTAGTTATGAATCATTTCACCACTGGTTTATATACTACCTAATGAACAGTGTAAATTCCTATGTAGACATTTAGGTGCTAAAGATGTTTTATAATTAAAATATTGATATGAATTTCAGATTAAGCTTCCACTGAAAGAAATAAGGTTTTGTTATATTGCCAGAGCTTACCAACAATTATACCAGAGCTGAGGACACAAGTTGTTTTGTGTCAAAATATTGGAGAGGGTTTTATTAAAATATTTTAAATTGCACTTCTATTTCTTGTCATGATCTGGTGGCATTGGGAATTGCATTCTTAAGTAGTTCCAATCAGAAGAAGTCAGGCTGAATCACACGTTCAGGTGGGCATAAAGCTGCAGCTGCCACTGGGATAAAGCCCTGCTTTTAGTCTCCTTGGACCCCAAATTAATTCGGTACAGCATAAACTTCTTGTACTCTTGTTTCACCAAGTATTTCTCCTGTAGTTCTCTCTTTGCTGGGCTTATGATTATTGAAGGTGTGTTTTGTGTGCTGGTGTCACACATCAACATAGAGGAATGATCTGTGTCCCTCTATGTGGAGCAAGTTATGGCCTTGAACCCTAGGACACTTAGGTATACACTGAAGTGGTGAAGCTTTCTTATGGTCCAGCCAAGACTTGGTGAGATGATCCCTGGAGGAACCAAGGACCATTTTCTGCAGACTGCAAGCCTTACAGTTTGAGCAAAAGTTAGTTTGGGAGATCTTAGCTCGTTTAGTGTGAGTATATGGCACCGTGCAAGTGAGTATCTCGCCGTATATGTGTTTTATAAAAAGTATCCTAAACACTCCACTCTACAAATATTGTCTTCAGTGAAGAGTGAAAGAATAAGGGAATACCAGATATTACTAATACTGTTTGCTGTTCAATGGGAAGGAGCCCAGATACTACAAAAATGAACTCAGAAGGAGTAGTATTATAGTCCAGGAAGAAGTCTACAGGTATTAAAGCCCCTTCTCTCCCTACCTTGAGGAAAAATTTCTCCTTACAAATCCTTTGCTTTTAATTTATTGCAGTCAAGGCAATAACTTGTGTTCCAAGAACACATGCTGTGTATGACCTTGAGGAAATTTTGCAGAACTGGCTTGCCAGAGACACAAACATTAAGAGTAGACACAAAACACGTATCACACCAGCTTTCTGTTAGAAACTTTCCTAACTAGACTGCTTTTCCCTTGTAGTAATGGGCTGTTTGTTCCTGTCTTTTCCCTCAGTTTATTGTCTTATTCTTCATGATTTTTCCACTTTGCTTCATTCAACACCTGTCCTTCTTGTGTTCCTAGTTTCTGCCCTTGACAATACCCCTACCATTGCAAATATCACAGAGTTTCAAAATAGCTGTCATTATACTGACCACTCTAGCTGTTTATTACAGCTCTTCTCTTTCCACTGCATATCTCACGTCTATTTACAGTGTAAGCACTTCAGGATAAGGACTGTCTGCTCAGGTTTGTAGAGAGTCTAACACAATGGATCCAAGTTGTGTGACACCAAAATGATTAGGTAGTATAATAAGTCTTCAACTGTTAGCCCCCCAACAATGTTTCCTTGATCGGAACGAGCATCAATTTAGAAAAATAGCCAGTTTCTATGTTCTATTTATTTATAATAAAGCTGTATTTTGCTTTTTTTGTTATTTTTTAACTTTGAAATTAAATTTCTTGGCACAGCAGGTGTTGTAAATAATTTTGCAAATTGCCTAGGGCTGTCTACATCATAAACTATTGCTGAATTATCAGATAATGAAAATAGACAACTCAAATGAGAAAGTGTTTAGAGATAAGTGAAATGTGAATTCTCCTGCCAATTGTTTTTGGTTTTGTTTTTTCTTCTTTCTTTTCTGTTTCGTAGCACGAATTATCAAAACAAAACAGTGGTGTGAAATGCTTCCGTGTTTAGAAGGAGAAGGCTGTGATTTGCTAATCAATAAATCAGGCTGGACCTGTACACAACCAGGAGGACGGATAAAGACAACCACGGTAGGTCTCATCTCTGTTCTCTAACTTCAATTTCTTATTCACTTTAGTTTGTTGAAAAACAAGAAGTGAGATTTTTAATTGTTTTTCAGCCCTTTTATGTAAAGTTTATTGCCTCATAATTGATCTGTGTGCCCAAGTGTGCATGCTGAAATACACAGCAATTTTATCACAAAGTACAACATTGGAAAAGATGACAAAGGAAAATGTGTAATTCCCATGGTTACTAAGAGTAGTTGTTATATCAAGGTTTTCTTATAAGACATCGGTGGCTTAACTAACATTTGTATCCAGCCTGAAGACAGTGTCTTATTGTTTCAACATACACAAACTTTCTTATGCTGTGGTAGTGTAGGGTGTAAAACTCAATGTGTGGTCTGTCAGAGTGAAAAGAAAGCTTTCACTGGGAGTTCCAAAGAAAATATTTTTGCAACTACACTGGAAAAACAAGTTGCACAGATAGATGTTTAATTTTCAGTGAGATCTACAGAAAATATAGCAAAAGATCCCTTTTCCCAGCTTCCTTTGGCCCTGGTTTGTTGATAAATCTCTCAGTTCTCTGATCAGGTGTCTTGGGGCATATGCTTGCAGTGAAGCTGAAAGTATACACAACAATAATAGTTTCTAAGGCCTGTAATGTATCAAACAGATTTCTAGAAAATGTTCTCAAATGCCAGCAATTCTTTGACTTAAGAAATGGAAAAAATCTGAAGAGATGTAACAGAGCAATTTTCTGATAGCTTGCTAGGCCTCTTCAAATTATTTCCCCTCCTTATAATCTTTTTTTAGATTTACAGGGAGCTTGAGTGTAATTTAAATAAGTGCAATTTCAAGAATATTTAGTCTTAAAAGTACTTATCAGTACGGACTAAATTAATGCTCATCATCCCCTGCACAATTTCTCTGTCTGAGCAGGAGACAGACAGCAGTATAAAACCTTTTATTGTTTTAGAATGTCTGTATTTAAAAAGTTAACATGATTTTCACTTTTTTAAAAAAGGGAAATTAGATAATGCTTTATAAGATACCTACAAAACAAATTTTATGAATTGTGATCACTGTTTTTATGCATCTGTATTTACCAGATATAATATTCCTTATGGATAGGGCTATAAAACTAAGCTCATCTCTGAGGTCTTACTTAAATATAGTTTGCCTTTAGATCTTTTGCATTCAAGTTCTGTAAATCTTTTGCATTCAAATGATGTAAGAGTGATATAAAAAAACAAGGGAAGAAAAAAGTATTTTATACATGAATGCCAGCATTCAAGGGCAAGGAGATCTTATACCGTAACTTGGGCATACTTGAAATACAGTCTTAAATCTTGTTAATTCAGGGGTATTTTCTGTATCCGAGGTAAACAGAAAACCCGTGTACTGTGACACATTGCCAGGTGTCATTTTAGCTCTTTATTTGATGTTTAATGCTAATGGCATGACTGAGTAATGCAAAGTAAGCAAAGGATCTATCCTTCAGTTTCTGTCTTTAATGAAATGATTCAGATATGCTTTCAGATTAAACACCAGAAGCCTGATTCTGAACTCTAACTTGTCTCTATAGCTCTTTAATGCTATTGACATGAATGGAATGACTCATGAATTTGATTAATGTAAATGAAATCATAATCATGCCCCATCAATAAAATTAAGACCATGGCAAGTGTAATATTGTAAAACAGACTCTCCCCACACAGATACATCATTGTCATTGGTAAGGAAAAATTTTGCCAGAGACAACTGTAGAACAGCTCTGAGCATAAGCCCTCATCTAACATCAAGCAGTCTTCAACAGTTGGTATCACACATGCAGATACAAAACAAACACGCAGTACTTTCCAGTCAAGCCAAACTAGCAACTCAGAATGCCTACAGAAGCTCAGAATGCAGAAGGGGGAGAGGGAAAAAAGACAAGAAGAAAAACAGATACAAAACCCTGCAATAAACTCTAGCCTATAATACAGTATAATAACATAGCAAGAATTTAGAAGAAACTGTTCTTTAGCTACTTGGTTGAAGAGTAAGTTTTGGACCATGGTAGTAGATTTGGAAACTGTGTCGTAAGATGACTCCACGTAATGCATGACTGTGATTAAAAGGAAAAAAAAAAAATCCAACAGAAACACTAAAGGACACTATTTACTGTAGCAATACTCTCAGATCAACAGCTGCTAATGCAATAACTACTATTTCTGCTCCTAATCAGCACACATGTGTTGCCACGCACTATCATGCCATCATGGTATTTAAGTGTACTAGGGAGGACTTCAGGCTGTGAAGGGCCAGAAAAATGACCACCAGATAGTATGGAGAAAAATGTCCAGACATACTGATTTAGTTACTGTGCCCTGTTCTTAAGTAGAAATAATTTTGACCGCATCTCCAGCAACCGCCAAATTAGGTCCTTCATTTTTTAATTGTCAATTTTTTAAGAACACATTCATTAATCTAATATCAGCATCCCTTTCCTGCTGATATAGCTTGCATCTTAAAGATATTTTTTGGCAGTAGGTCTTGAGTTATCATACTGATAGGAGATAGTATAGCAGAGATATTACTGGTAAACGCTGACAATAATTTCTCACCCATACTAAAGTCAGAACAGTGTTGAACTCTGATGGACTGAGACCAGCTGTTGTGATAATGCCAGCTTTTCACATTGATTCCAGGAGGTTTTGTGGAAATGCAACTTTTTAAATATTGGGTTTAGAAGCAGCATGTGGAAAGTTAGGACTTGTAGACCTTAGAGATGACATGAGCACCCTTTTAAGGGAATATACTTCAAGAATATACTTGAGAATATACCTTAGGACTAATATGATTCTTAAAAAGAAAGGAAGAAATCAGATTTGTGTTCTGTAGATGAGTTAAGCATTTTTTCTGTGAAAATTCTAAGCAAATAGCAAATGAACATATCCATTGCTGCAAAACAAAGGTGCAATTTCTGTAAAACGTTTGGAAAGGGTTGCTGCTTTTTACTTTATATTTTGTGTCAAAATTGTTTACACATTCTATGCAGAGCCAGATTATTCAGCTGGCTGGCACTTTCTGTGACCACCTCTGGAAATAATGCAACCAAATCAGAATTCTCTCCTCACATGAGTAGCAGTGTTTTATATCCATTTTGTGCTCACTTTGCAAAGCTATAAATGACTACACAAGGTGCAAGGCAAAGGAAAATCAGACTCAAAGTGTACTCTAAATGGATCTGGATGTCACTTCTGCCCTGTTGTTCTTTCTACAAGGTGTGAATGAACCAAAGATTTTTCATCTGCTAAGAGGCTTTTAGAATTGAGGACTGACTGGGCTAACTGCCAATCTATGTATTAAGAGGCTGACTGTCAATAGAAGGAAAGAATATGGCAACTTGTAAAAGAAGATAGCAAAAGAAGATACTACACAGCTGTTAGCATTTTTAACATACTAAGTACTTTCATGTAACAAATGTCCTTACAGTCAGTTTAAAATTTCCTACCTTTAAAAATTTCTTCTCCTTTTGCTATTCTTATTTCTTTTTCAATTATTTATTAAAAATTAAGCTATATGATTTTTAAAAATTTTTTTTAGTGTTAATAGTGCCAGAAGATACGCCTCTTTTTCTTAAAGAAGTTGCTGAAGGGCCTTTCTATTTGATATTTCAAGTGTAAAACTTGCTTGTGTATAGATGAGAAGATGCACGGTGTATTGTTTTTACAGGGGAGATTAATTTTTAGCACCCAAGTGTATATATGTTGTCAATGATCCATCACTACCTAATTGTTACTTAATTAATTCCTTCTTCTACATAATGCGATTTCAATGCACGGAGCTTAACAGAACATTCATGCGCCAGTTCCTCAGCAGCTAACCTTTTAAACCTTTGCGTTTTTACTGCTAAATTAGCTGAAGTGGGAAATTAAGGAATATGGAGAAGCAAAGAGAGAGCTCACAGTGGATAAAAGGTGTAATTACTCTGACATGGAGCTCAGTGCTTAGCTAGTAAAATTTACTAAGGATCTAGCTTCACCAAGGGACCTGACTTTCTTAATAGAGTTTACTTACACACAGAGCAACCTATCATTCCTCACCATTAATATAAATGACATGCTGGCTGGGTTGGAAAGGCAATTTGTTCCTTACCCTGAAAAATACAATGCGTACTTGTATTGGCTGTAATTTAAAGCATAATTTTTTTCAGCACAGCTGTATCATACATATATGTATGATTTAGGTAACTCAGATAAAATATAGTGGTTTGATTTTCAGCACTGACTTATGAGCAATGTGTTTGCAGTCATACCATTACATCCAGGTAAATATATATGTGTATATATATATATGTATACCCATAAAAATATACATATATATATATGTACATATATGTTACATATTTGTAACATACTTGAGAATTTACTTTTTTTTAGACTGAAGATCAGCTGGAAATATCCCGAGGCCATGGTCTAATGGTCTGAGCTTGGGAACTGGGAGCCAGAAACTCCTGAGCTCTAATCCTGGCTCTGACAGTGACTCCCTCTGTGGCCTTGGGTAAGTCACTGAACCTCTCTGCCTCAGTTTCCCCAGCAGTAAAACTAAGATTAACAGTTCTTAGCTCCATATGTCAGTGAATCTGGGAGTCCTGACTTAACATTTTAAGAGGTTTAGCAATTCATATTAATTTAGAAATAAAAATGCTGTTATGTATAAACATCCTTATTGGTATTATTTCCATTGTTAGGTATTCACATAACAGTGGTATTCCTGTATTTAGCCTCACCTACATTCCAGCTCTGAGTGTTTCTAAACGTGCATTTCACATCTCCACAGCTCAGCTGATTTCATTTGGTTAAGCTGGTTTTGGAAGTATTTTGAAACCGTGCCAGTTCTAATTCTGTGTCATTCCAGGATACAATACCTACCAAAACAAGCTTTCAGGCAGCACCAGATTAGATCAGTGAAATGTTGCATGCATGCCATGCCAAATTAATTTTCACCCTTCCCTTTTGTCAGAAGTGGTCAGCTTATGAAACAGATACAATAATACCAATTCTTTA